AGCAAACCACTTATGCAAGTGTTTAAATTTTAACCACGCATAGGAGCTGCATCGCTGAGGTTAATGGGACTGTAGCGGAGACTGCAGTGGGATCATCTTCCCTGACCCCGCGGCCTGACCTGCCGACATCCCTCTGACTCCCACGCTGCCATAACTTGGGGGTGACCTCAGCGCATGTTTGTTTATCCTGGAGTTAAATGAGCATATAGGGACTTTGCTGGATCTGCCTTAGCCTGCCTGGCCCTAAAGTTCAGATCTCTGCAGAGCTGTCACTGGGGAAAAGCAGACGGGTGGGATCAGCCACATGATTCTGTCCGATGGCAGCCAACTACCTTGGCCATGAACCCCTTCAGGGACCTAGGACATAGGCAACTCCTGGGACAGCACCCTCTTTCTCACCGACCCACCACACTTTCTGAGGGGTTTTTTTGCCTGCCGAAGGGGTTGTGTGCTGCAGGGAGGGGAGGCTGGCACCATGGTTTGGGCACTCGAGTTTATGGGGATCTGGACCTCAGCAGTTTCCTCCAGTCCCATGTTGTAACGGCAAAAGGAGAGGCCGCCACCCCAAGCAACACCTGCGGCGTGAACAGGGGCTCTCACCAGTCCTTTGTTCTGCGTAGAAACAACAACAAAATCCATCTTAGGCATGATCGCTCACAAAACTTATAAACCTTCTGAGGCAGCCCAAATTGACCCATCTTTTTCTTGAGGGGGGGTGGAGAAAACAAGCTCCAGTGGTCCCAATTACTCTGTTTGCTAGAAAAAATATTTTCATGTAATGACCTCAGTAGGGAGTGAGCAGCTCCTTTTGTGTATTAAATTAAAATCTCTGGGGGGACATTAGGCCCTGTAATTCGTATTTTTCAGATGCAATTTAAGTCTTTCATCAAAAAAACCTCATAATAATTGAGCTCTGTGATACCCAGTAGATTCATTTTCATGTGAAGGATGAAAATAGCCAGCAACACGTTAACAAATTCCATGGGGAGACCAATTGTAATGATAAAAATAATCTGACGTGGGCATGAATTTGCAAATACAGTGCTTTATGGATCGCTGAAAAGGAAGAGGCTGTCTTAAACTCTTTCTTTATATTAAGATAGAAGTGGGGAAAAACTCCCTAGCCTGCTCATTAAGAATGGAGTACATGAGCAGTCTTCAAAGAACAGAGGCCCAAAATGATGCATCTCTATCTCTTATTTAGAAAAAAATCCCATGTACTAGGACGACTGCTTGCATACGTTGTCGTCACTTCTGCTGCATTAAATTGACTGAGAAAAGGAGAGGTCTGCACAAGCAATGATTTTCATGTACCGGTAACTGCAGAGAACATGGCTTCCTGTGCAAATAACTGATGCCAGATGAGACCTCATGTTTTGAGGAGCACGTGTATAATTTCCAAGGTTTTGGGGCTTTTCCAAGAATTGCCTGTGAGTGTAGGAGAGCCCCAAGCCTCAAGATGCCTGCGTCCAGGGAGAGCGCTGGTATGTTAGAAAATATCAGCAGAAATGGACCTGAGACATAACTTAGCCCCTGGGGTGGGTAGGCATTTTCTGGTGGGAAAAGTGGCATTCCTCCCCCTCCAGCTGGAAACCTTATCTAGCATCATGGCTTATTAAAGCACATTGATGGATGCCTGCCTCTGCAGCAGTTCACCTCCTACGGAGAAGCAGAGCCTTTGGGTAGGGCTCTCGGCAATTCCCCTCAGAGCAGGGGGGTTGGTTCCATGCAGCCACGGTCTGAATGTGAAGCTGCAAGCTGATAGCCCAGGTCAAGGAGAGGGAGGATATGGCTGGACGTAAAGAGGGAGATAGGAGAATAGAAGAAAAGACAACAAATTATTTATCAAAGTAACAGATACAGTCTTCGCTCAGCGTCGCAGTTCAAGTGACAATAAAACCCTCTGGCAGTCTCAGAGGACAGTGGCTTTGCCTAAAATAATTTTAATTATGATTTTAAGCAAAAAACCTGTTTTAGCAGGATTCATTATCTGATGTTGAAACGTTTTCCGCTGGACCCCTTGGTTTTTGCAATTCCTAGATATTTACTGCTATTAAAGTAAGACAAGAAAAGAAGCTTATCAGTCCCATCTGAACCATATTTTGTTGCATACAGATGTTTTAGTCTATTTTTGTATTTATTCATCTATAAATAAGCAAACTAAGACCCAGTCCCATAGTACAGACGCGCTCCATCAGGTACTAATTTTCAGCACATACTTGATTTGTCAAAAAAATTGTGCAGAATAAGCTTCCTACGCCCTGGTTCATAAGAAATCGGACTGAGTCATAGTACAATTAGCAGCCTATGAAAAGCGGAACAGGAGATCAAGCCTATGTCATACATTTTTCCTGACTGAGTTGTGCAGGACAGCATTTGCAAGGAGATAGGGCTGGTGAATGATGCAGCTACACTAGAAAAATTACCCAGAGTAGACACAGTTGTGGAACCTGGGCTACAGCCTACAGACACAGGTTATTCTGCTGAGATAAGTTATACCAGCAAAAAATTAATTCTGCTTCTGCTAGAAGTCCTTTCCAGAGATAGTACAGACTGAGAAGAGCTAACAGACATGACCCAAGTTATGCGGTTAACCCTTTAAAGAGAGACCGTGACTCACCATCATTCACTCCTAAATTCCCCATCTTTCACAAGGTAGAGAGTGAAATTATTTGCTTTACCAACTCCTGCCAAATCACTTTATCCCCAGGAAGCCGTGTGGAAAACCCCAGAGGAAGCGTAAGAAACAGGCGGGGGGAGAAACCAGCTCCCACTTGCCCAGGCTGGGCCAGCTGAAGCCACCAGAGAAAGAAGGGGCAGACTGCTGTCACACGGCTGGTACCGCCAGCAAACACTTATTTCCATCATTGCAATGGGTATTAGACATCTCCTTCTGCTTTCTTCTTCTCTCTAACTGTGAATACCTCAATGTTGGGTTTATACAACCCCGTTTATGCAGAGCTGATCAGCTGGCTGTTCCTGCTGTAATTCCCTCCGCCAGCTGGCACTGGGAGAGCACCAAGGAACCAGCCCAAAGACCAAGAAGGAGGTGAACTGGGCAGAGAAAAAGGCCAGTGTGTTATAGAGGAATTTCTTTGTAAGCAAGAATATTAAAAGGATGAAAATCGATTCATAGTGAATTCAGGAGGCTCTCTCTACATATTTTAACTGCTTGGTATTATTATCTCGTTGAAGAGGCACTCCAGGCTCACTAATATACATTGTTACACAAGCAAAGCACTCCAGCATTGATTTTTCTCTAGCAGAGGATTATGAATCAACATGATTTAAGCAACTCTATGGCTGAGAGTAATGACCAGAGCCTGGAAGTTAGCCAAGTGCAAGGAACTTTCTGGACAGAACCAGGTTTGTATCACTGCTTTTAATTACATTTGAAGACATGGATTGTCCATTAATATGTGACCTCTAATTATGTTTTTAAGAGGTGGCTCTATTGAAAAACAGCTATATCAAGAAGATGTGTGCAGAAGCTTAAACCAAAGCAATTTGTTTGGGGTTTTTTTTCTCCTCTGCAGCCCCTTCAGGAACCTTTCCTTGAATGAGCAGATCAGCTTTTACCAGAAGGCCAAAGGGGCCAGCGCATGCACCGTCACTCGGGTCCCAGGGCCTCGTCAACCTGAGGGGGATGTTGTAGTTACATGCGGTACGAGGTAAGCTAAAAAGCAAGCAGCTGCTGCCCTGGCTTGCCTCTGGAGGCACTGAAAGGATGCAGCGGCAGAGGGGGAGG